GTCTCCACTGTGAGGACGCAAGGGCCTTGGACGCCGACGTTGGTACGTTTTGGGGCGGCGGTCTGCTAACACCCTGAAGAGTTGGCCAGTGAAAACCGAGAAGGACGGGCTGCAGAGGCAAGGGCACACGGATACCCTGAGGACAAGCGTGCGTCCTTGCGATGGGTTATGACTGGTGTGGCGACCCCCCCTTGGCACTGCACTGCCATGCTGGAAGGGGGGCAAAGGCAGAGTCGGGGGCGGCGGCGTATGCACACCACTACTCGGCGCCTTCCGCGGGGCGCCGTCCCTCCGCGCACCCGCATCCCGCGAAGCAGCAGGTCGTGGGCTCCGCAGGTGGTGCCGCGCCCAAAAGAAGGCGGCAGAGGGGGGCGGACCGTCTCAGTTGAGGGATGCAGAAACGCCCCTACGCTGGGTTACAAATGCGTGGTCTGCAAACCTCCTGGGAGCTCCCGCAGGCCAGTGAGCCGCCAGGACGCCGCGCGACACGCGCGATACGCAGGGTTTACCCTGTCAGCCCACAGGAGGATCAGCGCACAGCGCCTCGTGAACCAGGGTAGGGGCGTTTTTTAAGCCCTTGACTCGGAGGGGGGCGGCTGTCAGAAGGTTCGGGGAGGCCTCTTGCCTTCGGGGGGACGCTCGGCGAGCCTGCTCCGAAGCCTGGGCCGCCCTCCGAGGAGGCCTGCCCCCTTCTGCCTTCCTTCTCGGCTCGCCGCCACGGGGGAGCCACGACGACAGGGACGACCAGCATCCGCCACACGAGCGGGAAAAGCATCATCATCAGCATCCGTGCGTCAGGTTCGTGTCGTGCCGACTCCAGCGCTGGTTCCTGACACCGCGGAGATCGTTCAACATTGAACGATCTGCCGTTTCCGAAACGTCCAAATCGTTCCACATCGAAGGATTCTGGGTCGCCCGCGGCGTTCAAAGTTGAACCCCATTGGCAGGGTCGCCGCCGGTCGACACAACACGAACCTACCGTATCTTGGCAGCGGCGGCGGCTTTGGTAGAAGCATCGCGAGCAGACCCTAATGCAAGCGGGCGAGAATACGCACTCCAACCCCCACCCACACACACACAGAAACTCGCTTTCGAATTCTGCAGATACGAGAAGATGCAGGGAGGAAGGGCGTGGAAGAGCGCGGGAGGCCAACTTGAGGGGGCCGATAGAAGGATGTAGATTCTGGGTGTGCTGACGCAAGTGTCTCTAAGGGCCCTGTAAGGGGAAACGGGGTGCTGAAGGAAGCGGGCGGGTCTGAGAAGGACCCCGAGTGGCCTGCAACAACGAACAGGCGCATGCACGCCACGGAGATCTGTACACAGCCACCCGCCGAAGGCTTTTCCCTGTGCCTTCCGGGAGTGTGGCGGAAGCCGGAATCGGTGGCCCTCAGTGGCGACAGCTGCGCCGCAGCCCTCCCCCTGATACGCAGAGGGCATCTATACACCACCGCGGCGCCTCTTGGCCGTGAGCTCGCCGGGCTTCCTCACGCAAAACTGCCGACGAGCCACCATCGCTCGGATTCCGCTGGCTCCCGCCGAGGTTCTGGAGAACGCCCTGCGAGGAGGAAGCGGGTTCTGCGGGGGAAGCGGGTCCCGAGGAAAACGGGTCCTGATGTTTTTCGCTGGCTTCGAGCTCTCGGGGCCCTCCACGGGCTGCGGGACAGTCGAAAACAACGGCTCCGGAGGAAGAGCTCGTCCTGGGAGAAGGAGGAGGGGAACCCAGACCCCCTCGCGTCGCGACAACATCGCGACGGAGGGTTCTTGGCTACCTTCGGAAAGCGTCACAAAAACGACTAAGGAGGAAACACGGGCCCGTGGACTGGGCCGAGACCCTTGGGGGTCGCAGAAATCACGACGCTGGGCAAGCGTACTTGCGTACGTGCGTGGCGGGGGGAGGAGGGGGGGCGTGGCGAAGCCCGGAAGGGAATCTGGACTTCACGCAGGCCAGGACTCACTAGAACGGCATTGCGGCCCAGCGCTGCCTGGAAAGGCGGCGGAGATGGGGGGGAGGGGGGGGGGGAGAATGCCATGCAGGTAGAGACTCGCTTGAGTTTAAGGAAGACGCCCTCCCAGGGAGGCACTTATGGGACGCAGGAGGACATACTACATACTAGTACTATGCGCCCCTCTTTTGGATGCGCACGTCCGACCCGAACATACAGCACAACGATCGCATGGTACACAGTCACCCAAGCGGTGTGGCCAGAAAGCGCCAGCCCCACCGAGCATTTACCACACGGTCAACCCCGTACAATAAGGATGCGCGGGCAGGATGCGAGGGCCTTGGAAGGCCATGTCGACACTCTGCGAGCGGGGCGCGGCCAGCGAAAGCGGCCAAGGACGGACTCGCCAGCGGCAACGCTGATCATACCACGCGCACCGCATGCCGTCCAGCCGTTCAGTGCGACAGAGTGTAGACGCTTCGAAAGCTCGAAAACTAGCACGCCGAACCAACTTTCCACACTGCAGCCCCGCAAAGGATTGCGCGCAACCATCGATCTCCGCAAAGTGCGCGATCCCTGTGAGGCTCGGGGGCGCGCAAGCATGGATTGGCGATCCATGGACCTGGCGCGCGGTCGCCAAATCCATCGTGCATCGGGGGAGGTGTCCTCCCCAGAATGCGGCCGGCGCCGCCTCGCTCGGCGGCTGGACTCCGCGATTTCCCATGGAAACGGGACCCGTCGCTGATCCACGCCCCCTTGATCCATGCTTGCGATCGCCTGACAATCGGCCTGGCCAGGATCGGCGCGGGTGTACTGCCAGACCCAGGACAGATGAGCATTCTCCAAGAGCGTGAGGCCATTCGCGGGACAGAGCACACAGAACCTCCGAGGGCCCCCCCCCAGCCAGGATGCACAAGAACATCCAACAAGCACGAAGAACACTGGGGCACCCTCCCCGAGCCGACCTCGATCCTACACCTCGGCCCGACCGTACAAATCTGGCTCCCTCCGAGGGGAGACCAGGGTCGGGCGGAATCAGCGGGGGCGGGGAGCCACAAACGGAAAGGGGCAAGCCGGAGCGCACGAGAGCAAAGAAGTGGCCCCAACAGTGCCGCCCCCCTTGCCATCTCTCGGACGCGTTCCTGGTGCATGTTTCGGTTTCGGTCGCGCTTTGTTGCAGGATGATCTGGGATGCTCCTCGAGGGTCCTCGCCAAGAGCAGATGCACGCGTCCTGGCGATGCCGAGCCCCCCGCCCAGGTGCTGGAGAACCGCACCTTCCTTCGTCCCCCTCCCCCGCTTACCCTCCGGGTGGGAGAGCACACCTACCAGACCGTCGGCCCAAGTGGCAGCTGTGGATGCCGCCTTGCTCGCGCCCGCCCGCGAACGTCAGAGGCTTGTTTTCCTTCGCCCTGGGTCAGTGGCTGCGGCTCGCAGGCCGGAGGGGGTTTGTAACCAGCGTGCCATATATGCGCTGAAGCTTGTATGTGAGATGTGCTGTTCAAGCTGCGAGGCGTGCTGCCGGCCTGCCGGCCACGGCAAAGAACAAGAACAGCACCCGCCGTCGGAACTTGAACCCGTCTCAGCATGGACCGCAGAGGAGGAGGAGGAGGAGGAGGAGGAGGAGGGGGAGGAGGACAAGCTAGGTGCGCTCGCGTCATATCTGGCATCCTACCCCTCCCTCCCATCCCTTACCATGGCGCAGATCCCCTGTCTACTCGCACAGTCGGGCGTCGAGCAGGGCAATGATCCCGCAAGGGTACGCGATGCATTGTAGAGCACGGTATGGCATGGCGAAGAAGAGCACCGCGAAACGTAGTATGAACCTAACATTGCATTGCATGCCGTGGCATGGCACGGGAAATGACGCCAGCGCTGCAGCGGGAGCACGAGTCGAAACGAGCGGAAACGCATGAGGCCCGCGCTGCAGCGGGAGCACGATTCCGAACGAGCGGAAGCACGCCGGAATCGGCCTGGGAGGCTTCCCGGGCGCCAGAAGCAGAAATTCAGCATTTTCAAAAGAAAAATGTGTATTGGAATGGCGTTTTTTTGGCGTCGCCTCGGAACTCGATTTTCCGGCGCCGGCCGGAACTGGCTCTGGACCGGGCCTGGGCGCCGGCCAGGGCGCCGGCTCGGGCGTCCGGCTCGGGCGCCGGCTCGGGCGCAGGCCCGGGCGTCGGAATCGGCCGAGGAGGCCTCCCGGGCGCCGGAAACGGAAATTCAGCATTCAAAAACAAAAAATGTATTGAAATGTATTTTTTTCGGCGACGCCTCGGAACTCGATTTTCCGGCGCCGGCCGGAACCGGGCTCCCGAGTGCTGGCCCGGGCGCCGGCTCGGGCATGCAGGCGCCGGCGGAAATGAGGCCAGCGCAGCAGCGGGAGCACGATTCGGAACGAGCGGGGCCCGAAAATTAGGCCGGCGCCCCAGCGAGAGCAGCATTTTGGAAAAAAATGCAAGCGAAAACCCAACTCCAGGGATACCTGTGTGTAACAAAAACAGTACGCGGGGGTGGGGCGGCTACTCCCAAGACGTCATCAGGGGAAGAGGGAGAGTAGTATTCATATTGAGTAACTGTTAGTTAATTGTAGAGGAGGAGGGGGAGGAGGAGCAGGAGGACGGGTCGCCCAAGCCTCTCGGAGAAACCCTCCACCCGAACCCCGAGCATCGACCCTTCGCTGCTGCTCCTGCCCGACCGCAGCCCGCGGGCGCCCTTTTCCGGGCCGCCGCCGCCGCCGCCCAGAAACTGCAGTATCCAGAACGAGGAAACACGCCACGACCAGAAACCTTTGGCGCTCCGCGCGGTCTTCTTGTATCCGCGCCGGACCCCTCCGCCCTGGCGCGCCGGAGGCGCGCCAGAGGGGCAGCGCCTCGAGGCGCCGCGGGGGGGGGGGAGGGAGGGCCCCAGCGCGGATGCAAGAGATCCGCGCGGATAGCGCCGAAAGTTTCTCTTTGCGGCGCTCTTCCTCCCTCGAGCATCAGGTCCTCCTCCGCCGCCGCGCCGCGGGACGCCCCGGCGGGCCCCGCCGCTCCGCGCTCGAGCGCCCCGTCCACGGCGGCCTTCCCGCGCTCCCGCCGCCGCCGCTCCCGGGAGAGCTGAGGCGTCGGCCCCAGTCATCGTGCGCTCTCTCCCTCCGCACACACGACCCGTTCTGGAAGCCCAGACGCGAGGAGGAGGAGGACGAGGACGCGGAGGAGGAGGACGAGGAGCGAGGACGAGGACGAGGAGGAGGAGGAGGAGGACGAGGGGGATGAGGCGGAGGAGGAAGAGGAGGAGGAGATGGAGGAGGCCTTAGGCTCCGACTGGCTAGTCGCCGCGCGACAGCCCGCGAAAGGAAGAGGAAGAGGAGTACCTTACTCATATCCTCCCTCCTCCTAACTCCTACCTCCTATCTCCTAAGTGCGTGCGTGCCTCGCCTGGGAGGCACACGTTGGCTTCCGCCGGCCATGTTATCGTTCTCTGATTCAGCGTCTCGACCTTGGGCGAAGGGGGGGTGAGGAGGGGCTTTGGCCCCCGACCTGTGAGAGTTTGAGCGTGCGTAAAACGTTGGGTTTCAGGGAGTAAGTGCCTGGTGAGGGGGAAGGGTCTCTCTTGTCTTCTGTCCCTTTCCCCCTCTCCGCGGCCCCTCTGGGGCTCAAGTTCCTTCTCGGGCCCTTGAAGGGGCGACCCGCGCGGGGGAGCGCGACCCGCCCTGCGGACCAGTGTCCGCACAGGGGCCGGGAGCCATGTGGAGGTGAGGTGCAAGGAGCGTGGCTGCGCCAGCCCAGTGCCTGGAGGCACTGGCAGGTGAGGCAGCGCAGCAGTTTGTGCATGATGGCGTTGCTGCCGATGCTCATCGGGGCCGTGGCAGCCGTCGAGATTGGCCGCAGGTGGCGGGCGCAGCCGGCGACGCCGGCCTTGCCCCGCGCGGCCCACGTCGCAGACAGGTCGCTACCCGCGGAGGCCATGACGGCCAACGGAGGGGCGTGCGCGCCTCTGCTGCGGGCGCTGGAGGAGGACCAGCGGCGCCGTGGCACGGCGGCGGCCACCGAGGCGCCGCAGCGCCAGGCCGCCCCCCCAGCTGGGCCCACGCCCAACGCCGGGAAGGGGCGAGGAGTACCCATGGGGCCAGCGGTGACCCCGCCCTCTGGCGGCAAGGGGCGCCATCAGCCCTCGATGGCGTCAGCCGCAGCCCAGCCACCCCTGGAAGGATCGCCGACATCCGCAGGCGGAGGAGGTGAGGAGAGCTCACGGCGGCGAGGAAGCGGGATGTGGAGCTGGTTCGCGGGCCGCCGGCGGGACCCCCCGCTGCGGCGGAGTCCTGAGGACGCTGGTGGCCCGGAGGAGGGAGAGGAGGAGATGCGAGGCTGGTTCAGCTTCGGGGGAGTCAAGTTCGGAGTGAGCTGGCTCGGAGGGTGGATCACGGACCTGCCGCCGACGGAGATACAGTGGTCGGATCTGATGTGGGGCGGTGGTGGCCTCGTCGGGAGCGGGCTCAACACGGTGGGTTACGCGGCATTCGGCACGGGTTGGCCCTTGTTGTGCTGGACCACGTTCGCAGGATTGATCGTGGCGCTCGTCATCGGCTTGGGATACGGCCTACACTCCATCGCCTCGGCAGTCGACGTGTTGGTCTGCGCACCACTCCGTTGCCTGGGACGGACGCTGGGATTGTGCTGTCCGACCTCGAAGCCACAAGTTACGGCCGCTGAGGAAGGAATGGTCCCAGAGCTGAGGGGGCCAGCCACCGCCATTGCCGTGGAGAACGAGTTCTACGCCCAGCTCCGCGCGAAGGGGGCCGACAAGGTGCCACATCACCTGATCATCAAGGTGGGCGACACGGCTGCGAGGCTGGAGAGGCCGCCTTTGAACACTGGGATTAAGTATAAGAAGGCAGGAGTGGCGTGGCCGTACCGCGAAGTGCTCGCTACCACGTCACGGCGACTGCGTGACCTGCTGGAGGATTCCCAGGACAAGGTGGTGCACCTGTGCAGAGACCCGCCCTGCACGGACGAATGCAACTACGCGGTGCATGCCCCCGCGTACGGGCACGTGACGGCTGAGACGGACACCAACTTGGAGGCACTGGTGGAGGCGGCGCCGAAGCCTTGTTGGGCCGGGCGGGCAGTGGGGGCAGCGGCTGCATCATGTGGACGAGGCTGTGCCGCTTTGGGGTTGAAGGGGTGTGCCAGGCTTTGCGGGCCCCTCAAGCGCTGCGGCCAGAGGGGCTGCCAGCGCGGCAGGCGAAGCAGGGCAGACACCCCAGCCGCCCTGCTGAAGGACCCGAACTCAGAGACGGAGTCGGAGCCGGAACACCAGCGCTGTATGGCCCACGAGGTGTTGTACCAGGAGGGAGACACGATATTCCAGCTGTGCAAGGAGAAGTGTCGAGATCGCGCCCGTGGTGCCCCTGTCCGCCTGGTCACGGAGGACGGTGAGAAGTCGAACGTCAAGGGGGCGGAGAAGGTGGTCAACTTGTGCTGGCAGCACACGAACGCCTACGAGCGCGAGAGAGGAGTGAAGAAGTGTGCACACCTCGGCTGCCACGCGTTGGGTCGGGTTCTGAACCGCGGGGTGCTGACGTGTTTGGAGCACGATCTGGCGAATGAGGAGACCGCTCGACTCGTCGCCGTCGCCGAGGGACCGGCGCCCGTGGTGGCGGGAATGGCTTCCGAGCAGCCCACTCTGTACCGGTCGAGATCTCCTACGCCGACGGCTGGGAGGGCCATCCTACCCTTGGTGTCGGCCAGTGGGGCGTGGCTAACGGCCATGGTGCGGGGCCCTCGGGGCACGGAGATGGCGAAGAAGTGCTGCTGCTACGGGTGCCAGCTGGCGGCCGAGGAGGATGGTTGGACTACGTATCGCATCCCAGGGCTCGAGGCCCAAGCTACCGCCCCGTCCAACCTGGGGCCGGTGACCGACGACCGGGCGCGGGCCGAGGCTGCTGCCGCAGGAGCGCCCGCCATCATCGTGCGGACGGTGAACCAGATACCCGACGGAATGGACGAGTACGGCCAGACAGCTAGCCCGGCGGCGCAGGCGCTGGCGCGGGGCGCGACGGGGAGGGAGGACCATCCCCTGTGCATCCTGACACGAGGGATCGAGGAGGCAGGAGGGCGAGATGAAGGACACGCTCGGAGGCACCCGCCCCCGACATCCCCGACGTACCCGACGCCGCCACCGTGGAGAGACACGATAACTCGAGGAGAGCTGGGAGGCCTACTGAATGGGGCGGCTCGGGAGCGCTGGCGCCGCCGAGGGGAGGCGGCCTTGGCACTGGAGTTCCTGAAGGCGAGGGCCAGCGGAGAGGATCACCCGCTGGACGTGGCCGAGAGGTATCAGCACTCCGAAGTGTTCGATGATCTGGGAGAGGCGTGCGACGCGATCGTCGAGTCACTCGAAGCCTTGGAGAGGGACCGCGGCTCCTTCATGTCGGACGACGAGGTGGAGAACCTGCGGCAGCTAGCGGAGGTGCTGAGGGAGAGGCGCGGCCTGAGCCAAGCGCACGAGGAGGAGGCGGCGGGAGGAGCATGGCGGGAGGGGCTGGCCCGGCCAGTCCCTGGCCCTGCACGGCCGCCCACCCCCCCCATGGCTCGCCCAGCGGCGGTGGAGACGCCGCCTGGCTTGGGAAGGACGCTCGAGTCGGGCCGGCCAGCCAGGGAGGAAAGGGGGTCAGCTCGAGGTCGGGAGCCCAAGCGGCGGGCAACTGACTTGGGCGGTCAAGGTGTCGACCTGCGGGGCAGCACTGTGCGGGCTGAGCTGGGCCGAGGCCCACCGACGGGTCGGCCAGGGCAGGACCCCACACCACCCCCCATGGACCTGTTCGAACACCGGGCTGGCCCGACCTTTGGGGCCCCTGCGAGGAGATCGCGAGTGAGTTTCGACGAGGAGGATTACGGCCGGCGGGGGCACTCGGCGATCCAGAGGACAAGGACAGCGAAGGAATGGTTAAGGTTATGGCGGATATCGCGTACAACCTTGACCTGACGAACAAGCGGGCGGAAGACGCAGCGGCGGGGAAGATGGGCACCCTCCAGTCGATCACGAAGGACCACGAGCTGCTGGTGCTGGCGGCGCGTGGGTGCGGGAGGTTCCGGGTGGCCATCTGCCCGGGCGACTTCGGCCGGGCGCTCGTCAAGGCACTCCTGCGCATGGCGGAGCATTCCTCGGCGCTGTTCGAGCACCACCGTTGGCCCACCCTGACCAACTACCGGATCGCCTCCGGCATCGCGTCGGGGTCATGGGGAGGCAAGTCGGTCGAGACGCTGGCTGCTCACGCGCTCAGTGTGGCCGACTGGGTGACCTGCCCAGAGGAGCTGTTCGACGACTACGTACCCACGACAGAGTACAAGATCGAGCCGCGACCGAAGCAGCCCGTGGACATGCTGAAGTGGGCACGCCAGGCTCGCAACGGCATATGGGCTGTTTGTCTGGCGTATGGGGCCGAGCACTGGAACGAGAGGAGCGAGGCCCTGGACTACCTCATCCGACAGCACGAGGCGAAGCCTTGGAAGTACACCGCTCGTTTCATCCAGGACGCCTGGGAGGAGCTGAACGGGCGGTGGTGGGAGGAGCTTCGGTGGAAGGTGAAGGAGGTGCAGCGCTACTGCAACAAGGAGCCTATGAGGAAGGAGGACTTCATCTTCGCCGCTCGGACGCCGACGCCAGAGGGACCACCGCTGCTGACACTGCCCACGACGTTCGAGGTGGAGGACCCCGACGGATACTTCAAGACGGTTATCTTCGAGCGCCTGGTCAAGACCGCGGACAACGCCTACTGGGAGAACGCTCACCGTGCCCAGCTGCGCCCTCCTGCAGCAGGAGGAGTGGAGGAGGTTGAGGAGCGTCGCCCAGCAGGAGGTCTGTCGCAGCTCCCGTCAGGTGGCGGGGGTGGTGAGAAGGTTGGCGGTCTGACAGGAGGCGGAGGAGGAGGAGTAGGGGGAGGTGCCCTGAAGGCTGGAGCGAGCAAGGTCAAACTCCCGCCTGAAGTCCTCTCAGCTCTGACTGGGCCCGAGGTTGCGGAATCGGTCAAACACGGGCCGAACGATGAGTACGTGCATCCGCGTCGAATTCTTTCGTC